ACCTTGACTCCGTAGTAGAAAATAAACGTGTAAGGAGTCTTTTCACATTCGGGGTAGTGATACCACAGTGGAGGACCATGGTAACCCTCGGGGATGGAGGAGTTATCGTGAAGGCTGACGGCTGAACTTAGACTGCTGTTTAACATGGTCAGTAAGAGGTCTTGATGCTGGAAGGCTGGGTTCATAGGAGACAAAAGTGAAGGAAACGGTTAAGGTTCACTTTTTATACACACATATTTTTGAAAGTCTGTCTGAAAGTTTGTTCTCTGTAGAAAACAAAGTATCACATCGACTTACCTCAGTCTTCACCTACAGCATGACTTTTCCTGACTGGGCTGAGGAACTTGTGAGCTCTCTTCCCAAGAACCAGTTTGTTCTCTTAGGTTAGGCCAGTTCTTGTTGGTTATTATTTTTTCTTCTTCAGTAAGTTGTGTCCTGTCTGTGCTGTAATTGGTCAGTAACGTGAACTAGAGCAGTTTGAATGTATGAAACGATTGGATGGTTTCAGGATACACGATGGGTGTGTTCAAATGGAGTTGGGTTTGTACAGAAGTACTAATTGTTTGCTTCATGCAGAGTCTTTAAGGCTTTTATCATCAAGCAACTTGTTTCAATAAATCATTCATTTTATGAGTGTGTTGTGTATTTAAATATATCAAAATGCAGTCGCTTGTGTTTAAGTTTACTCATCCACTCTTTTAGCATTTTACTATGAATGTTTATGTTTTAACAAGCAGTCCATCACAAATTAACATTTCATTTGTCTCATATGCTCCTTGTTTGGATGACGTAAAAAAATAAAACAGATCCTTTGGGATTTTATGTACTACTGTTCAGTGTACTCTGCAGCTTAATCTTTTCACTGATGAAACTCTTAGTCGTAAACAGGTGATGCAAGCTAGCAAATGCAAAATCTACTACAAGATCTTACAATCAGGACTATGAACTTTCTGGCAGCACCCATGAACGGTTGGGAATAATCTTGGAGAAGCTGCGAGCTCGACTTCGGCGTTAATAATCAATTGGGCTGTTTGGAAGCACCATCAGAGAAATGTACTAGCGAGACTTTAAAATGCTGAAACGACAATTTACAAGTTCTGCCTGCAGACCCAAACTGTGGATCTGGACCTGGCCTTGAAGGCGGACTATCTCAATTCCTCGTGGCATGTTTATGAAAAACAAAGACGCTTTGTCTGTCTCCTCAACCCTCCCTTCCCCAAGGCCGTGGACATGTGACAGAACCTTGACTGAGCTGGTGATAACAAACACCTCTTATCTGGACAATGGCTGAGGGGGGCTATGCTACGACCTTCCCTTAAAACTCAAGGCCTTCACCAGCCCCATATGTATCATGTCTGTTTATGTTGCTTTGCTGTGGTAGTTTTTTTTGATGCCTCAAACTGTGCCCTGCCTAGGACATAGTGTGAGAGATCTTTTTTAAAAATATAGCTTCTCTCCTCATGTTCCCTTTTTCTCATCTAAGCCTAAAAGTATTATTCCGAATAAGAATAAGAGGTTGCGCTTATGGCAGCAGCTTCATGCACTCAGTCCAATTTTTGGACGGCTGTACGGACATGTTCTCGTATCTCAGTGCAACGATAATAAAGCTTATTCTGATTCTGATTACTGAAGTGCTTTGGTTTCAGTAATTCATGATTACGTTAGTAAAACTAAAGCAAATGCTTATAACAATCGAAAATGTAGCCATCTTTAAATTATGCATTTATCCGTTGTTGCCGTTCGTGCCAGCTTTATCATCTCTAGAATGACAGTTTCAGTCTTTTCGTTGAAACCTCTAAAATAACTTTATGTAACTTTAACTTTAGATCTTAGAGTGTGTGTGGGGAATGATGCTCAGCTACTACCACACTAACTTTTAGCTCAGTATTTACAAAATTGCAGACAGTACAGCAGTGGTTGATGTTTCACAAACAACAATGAGTCCAGCTCAGTGTTGTATAACCTCAAAGTAATACTTCAGTGAAAGTACAAGTATCTTACCACAAAATTACTTGGGTAAAAGTTAAAATCTCCTTTAAAATTATTACTTGAGTAAAGGTCTTAAAGTATCTGATATTTAATGTACTTAAGTATCAAAAGTAAGTTTTTCATATAAAATGTACTTAAAGGAAGAGTATTAAGTAAAAGTGAATGGTTAGAATTTCCAAAACAACATTTATTGGGTGCAGTATCCAATGACAAAAACTTGGAAAGTTTGAACTGAACAATGAAAGATTGATCTTTAAAAAGTCTGATTCTAATGAAATGCATTCATTCAACCTTTATTAACCTTTATTAACAAAGCTGCTAGAAAGTCCACATTGTTGTGTAGTTGGCTTGTTTACTGAGCTAGATTCTCTTTGGTTATAGCTTCTTGCTTTCTGACTTTAATAGCTCCTATGCTCTTGAATGCACCATGGCTGTTCCAACGCTAGTGAACGCACCGCTCTGTGTAAAGTGCAGGGCTCAGATGGAGGGTTTTTTTCTCTCCCGACACAGACGGAGCCTTGTTGTTCAAGCTTTCTGTAGAGCCCACCCTGCAGCACATAACATTCAGCTTCTCCATCTTTGTGATGTAGAGGAGGGGCTCGATGACGCAGCTCAGATCCATGATGGAGAACACGATGATGCCGATGAAACAACGGTACTCAATATTGGTGTAAGCTGACACGAAGGGCATGGTGGCCACAGGAGTCAGATAGTTGACCACGATGATGGCCAGGTTTTTCAGCACCATCTTCAAGGCTTTCTTCTTCACTGGATGCATCACCTCCTTTCCTGCCACGGAGTGACGGAGAACCCAGATGACAGAGATGTTGCAGAAGACCATAACCGCAAATGCAAAGAGGATGACCCCGCCGAAGACGTCCGCCACGCTCATGATTCCAAGGATCGATTTTGTCAGGCTGTAGGGAATTATCAGAATCCAGACCACGACAGAAATGGCGATTCGGGCCATGTTGTCTCGGTATCTGGAGAAAATCACTGGGTTGACCACGGCCATGTAGCGATCGATGCAGATACACACCTGGGGTTACAGTCAGGAAGAAAGAAGAGTGATCTTATTAAATATTATGGCTTAGGTTCATTCATTCAACCTTTACTTATATAGGCTAGTCTCATTGAGCCACGAGGACTCATTTACAAGAGAGATCTCTTCCTTGACCTTAGGTGTCTAATATGTTGAAGCACAGCGATCCTAAATATTAGTCACAATTTAGGATACCGGTAATAAATAATTGTCTTTAGCCTGTCTTTAACAGGCTGTTATTTGAATGGGTTAGTTTGCACAAGTTTATTTTCACACACTCAAAATGTGATATAAATGGGTTATTACCTAAATTCTTAAATATTAAAACAAATAAATATACCACAATGGGTAATGAGTACCCACCGTATAACAGTTTTTGAACTTTTTAAGTGTGGCTCCAACATAACCTTTCATTAGTAAAATAAATAAACCTGAAGCTGTAAAATGGTTGTAAAGAGGGCTATAATTTAAAAAAAGTATATTTTTTCAGGTATATTTAGTTTGATTTGAAGATGACATCACAACAAGAGAAAATTCTAAGCACTTAC